TCCACATACTGCTGGAGTCTAGCTTGTAGGATTTTAAGCATAACTTTACTTGCATGTGAAATGAGTGCAATGGTGCGATAGTTTGAACATTCTTTGGCATTGCCTTTCTTTGGAATTGGAATGTAAACTGACCTTTTCCAATCCTGTGGCCACTGTTGAGTTTTCCAAATTTGCTGGCAAATTGAGTGTAGCACTTTTAGCACATCGTCTTTTAAGATTTTGAATAGCTCAGCTGGAATACTGTCACCTCCACTAGCTTTGTTGTTAGTCAGCTTTCCTAAGGCCCATTTCACTTCACATTCTAGGATGTCTGGCTCAAGGTCAGTGACCACCTCAGACAGCCATTTTGCTTTCTTGCATTTCTTTTTCTTTGGGATGGTTTTAGTTGCTACCTCTTGTACAATGTTGCGAACCTCCGTCCATAGTTCTTCAGGCACTCTATCAGATCTAATTCCTTAAATCTATTTGTCACCTCTACTGTATATTCATCAGGGATATGATTTAGTTCATACCTGAGTGGCCTAGTGTTTTTCCCTACTTTCTTCAATTTAAGCCTAAATTTTGCAATGAGAAACTCATGATCTGAGCCACAGTCAGCTCCTGGTCTTCTTGTTTTTACTGACTGTATAGAGCGTCTCCATCTTTGGCTGCAGAGCACATGGTCAATCTGATTTCTGTGTTGACCATCTGGTGATGTCCATGTATAGAGCCGTCTATTAAAACTGCCTGTTTCTCATTGTGGTATTGTAAGTATTCAATGATATTCAGAACATTCCTCACATTGTCCCTTAACTGTCTTTTTGGCAGAAAGCCAGATTGGTCTGCATGAATATATACCTGTAAAATCTTCTTTAGTCTTTCTGCCAAAATTGCAGCAAAGAGTTTATAGTCATTGTTCAGTAGTGAAATTGGTCTGTAATTCTTTGTCTTTGTAGGATAACACAATATTGGCTTCCTTCCATGTTTGGGGTATCCTTCCCTCCTGAAGTATATCATTCATTATATCCTTTAGTGGCTGTAGAAGTTCCTCCTCGAAGCACTTATAGCAGTGATGGCGAACCTTTTAGAGACCGAGTGCCCAAACTGCAACCCAAAACCCACTTATGTATCATTGGGTGCCGGGTGGGTGTGGCCCATTGGGTGGGCGTGGCCCATTGGGTGGGTGTGGCTGCGGTGGTAACGGCAGACTAGGTGGGACTGAAAAGTTCAATCAATCAATCAAACTTTGCGAGATCTTTTTTTTCCCCGCGAGAAGTTGAGATTGATTGATTGAAACTTTTCCCTTTTTTTGCACACGGCAGCGGAGGCCTAAAGTGAAAAAGTTTTATAAAACCCAGCTGAAGGCCTAGGACTGGGGTGATGGTGCGCATGCCCACAGAGAGGGCTCTGCGTGCCACCTGTGGCACGCGTGCCATAGGTTCGCCACCACGGACTTATAGTATTGACTTGTAAGACCATCTGGTCCTGGAGCTTTACCTGGTTTCATTTTTTTAATAGCTTCTGATATTTCAAAGAGTGTTATTGGGTCATTCATAAGTTGCCTCTAGGATTGTGATAACTTAGGTAACCTTTGTCTTAAAAGATAT